GGGGAGGACGTTCCCCCGGTTTCCGGATTGAATGAAGGGGGTGGGACGGGAAGGAGCGGGGTCCCGTGCCTTTGTTTCTTCGCGGGGGGGACGGCTCCGCCGCTGTGTCCCTGAACGCGACCCCAGTGGCGTATATGTGCATATCCGCACATACACATGCAAACGCCGTCTCGTTGGCTGCATTGCCCGGGCGATTCATTTAACGCATTCTCTGGGCTAGCACGGGGCGGTGTGTCCTAAACCGACCGAGTGGAGGTGGTTTGCGCAAGAGCGGCGGAAAGCTTAACCAAGGTTAATGGTAACTAAGCTCAGCATACTGTGTGTGCCTACTAGCGCTAGTTGATTTGGGCTGACAGCCATGGATTGAGGTTTAATCTGATCATTCAATAAAGTCTGTCGGCAGTCTTACGCATAATGAGTCTCAACCAATTCGGCAGGATTTATCCTGAAATAAGCAAACGCTGGATTGTACTTCACCCTAACAAACCCATCTCTAGGCAAAATGAATGCAAAAAGCCAGTGGAAGAATGTGATGTAAACCTAAGTGGGCACACAGGAAGCAAGACTGCATTCTATGGGATTTACTCCTAGATGACACTGCATCTTATTGTATATTTTATTTAAATTTGCTGCTGTGTAAACCATAAGTCTTGTGTATAGACTTGTACTGTTGCATATGTAAAAAAATTAGAACGGAAAAATGAAGAGTATTATCCATAAGTCATGAGGTCTGTACTGTATTTTATGAAAAAAAGATCTTAGTAATTCCATAGCATTTCTTTACTAATATTATTTAAATTTATTTATATTTTAAATTTCAAAAAAAGATATGTTCATATTTCATATTTATACTACTAAATAAAGAAAAGATATCTGTTAATGATACAGTTCCATTTAGTCTTTGGGAATGCTGTGTGTTTCCCACACGGTTATGGAAGTACTTCCTAAAGTACTAGCTCAAGGCAGAAGTAGCAGCTGGCTATCCTTGTCTGGGCTTTGAAATAAGCACAGTTGGGCTTGGCTCATAATTGAACTGGAGACCACAGGAAATTCCCAGAAGAACTTTGGCTGGAAGGTGAAAAAAATCCCTGAGGGTGGCAGTGGTAAATCATTTTGAAATAGTTGCTAAGAAAACTGTGGATGTTCCCGTGAGGTCAGAGGGAGACCTGTTTGAATGGAGGAAGACTTTAGCTAGGAAAAGGCCTGTAGAAGGAGAATGAGGCACAGTGGCGTGGTTGCCCCCACCTGAAAAGGAATGCCGTGCTTCTATGCCTATCATTTCAGTGGATGTGAATGTTTATTATTGGGGGGAGGGGGTGTTTGCATGGATGTCTTTTTAAAGATGAAGTTTCCTTTTCTCCTCCTTGTGCTTAAACTGGTAATTTGCATCATCTTCTGGTGAAATAACTTCATTCTTTCCAACTGCAGAGATATTGATTGATATCCACAGAGATTCTCATTACCTTTTCTACGCTGCCAGGCTTTCTGTTTTGATATTCCCAGACTTCTTTGGAGTGGAAGATTTGTGATTTGTGGAAAAAGTCTATTTTTATCCAACCTCTGGTGGTTTACAAAACAATTGACAAAAAACATTGTAAAACATCCACAATTAATATAAATTAAAGCAACCAATAACTAATGAAAGTTACAACAATACAAAGACAAATTATAATAGTGATGTTAAATAGTAAATCAAATAAAATAATATCAACACTCAATGTAACTAATTTAAAATAAAGATGGCAATAAACTATTTAGCAAAACCCTCTCTGGAAAAATATCCATTCTGATTTAAATTGTAAAATGGGATGGAAGATGAGGAAAAGTAGCTAAAGGAAAAACAGTTCTAACTAAACCTTATCCTAGCCAGTCTTGCATAGGATAGTAAGCAGTCTTCCCCTCCAGCTATGTTGGGGCTGTAATGCTCAGCAATTCCAGGCCATGGCCACATTGGGTAGGAATTCTAGGAGTTGTAGTTCAGTGGGGCAGGAGGGAGGCCCTGGATGGAAAAAGCCTGTTCTGTGTGGAACGGGAATAGACACTGACTGGCAGAACTGTTATTGTCCTCGTGAGCCTACCAGCTGGAAAGGACTGCCATTCTAAGAACTGGAATCTTCCTGGCCAGCTGATCAAACTATGAGAAAGAGATTGATAGCAAGCTAGAATAAGTTTTTTTGTTCCTTTGAGACAGTCTTGACTCTTGGCAACTGCCTGGACTAGTCCCTGCAGTTTTCTTGGGAAGATTTCAGAAGTGGTTTGCCATTGCCTGCTTCCTAGGGCTGAGAGAGAGGGACTGGCCCAAGATCATCCAGCTGGTTTTATGCCCAAGGTGGGACTAGAACTCACCATCTCCTGGTTTTTAGCCTGATGCTTTAACCACTACACCAAACTGGCTCTCTTAGGTTACTTAGAATAAGGTTACTTTGGTGGAAAATCCATATCTGTGTCCCAAGCGAACAGCAGCACTGGGGGAAAAGGAAGGGCAAGAGGGATAATCTACCCTTCCCTAACCTGTCACCCTTCATGCATGTGAAGAGTATAGCTCCCAGAATCCCCAGCCAGCCTGACCTTCACAGTCCCAGTACACCTCGAGAGCAAAAGTTTGGTGAAGGCAGGCGCTGTTGACTTTCATCTGCCAAGGGTTGGTGTACTTATGCATGCAAAAGTTCTTCTCTGTCTCAGAATTCCTGCTCATTAGCGCTTGTTCTCTTCATTCCAAAGACGTGTACTTGAGAGGCAGCGCCATGTCGTGGATAAGAGAAGGAGAATTGTCCTTTTTTGAGAGATTCTGTGCTAGCGTGATAAAGGTAAGTACTAGCTCAATGTTATCTTTAGTTTCTGAAATGTAATCTTTACCTAGAAATATTAGATAAGATTGTTTAATATTTAAGTGGGGGGGAGACAACCTTAGAAACCTTGTCCCACAACAACCTTCTTCAGATGAAGCCCTTCCAGATGTTTTGGCCTCAACATCAGTTACTCCAGCCAGCTTACCTAGTGGTTAGATGATAGGAATCCTTGTCTAAAACTTTGGAAGAGATTGCAGTTGAGAATTGTACTCCTAGATGATAGAAAAGTCATGCCAGCTAAGAATTGTTTGCCTCTTCATGTAGATTCTATTTGTCAATGTACCTTTGAATAAAAGATGCAAGGGCAAACTTCTGTGAGGTCAAAGAGAGATCTGCTTGGATACAGACGGCAGAAGAATGCTAAAGCTCGGAACCCTTATACAACAATCAATATTAGATTAGGAGGGCAGAATTGCACAAAGCTGCCACTCACTGAATTTAGGAGTGGAGGACTTTCTCCGTGCCTGCTGCTTTGCTCTATTTTGCTAGTAGGTGCCCCAGTTATGTCCCCAGAATTTGAAACTTGGACATTTCACTCTGATTGGCATGAAGGGGGGCTGTTTTACCCATCCTTGAAACTTGTATGGCATCTTCACGTTGCCATCTTTATTTATATTCTGGTTCTGTTCCTGGAATAATTGGTTCTTGCTGTCTTAGTATTTTCTGGAGGGGAAGCTGAGATACACTTTTTAAAATAAAATGTGCGTTCTGTGTGTGTCAGTAAAAGTCCAGGATGGTTCTGCAGTCCTTCATTTGCAGGATAGGTAGCTTCTAAACCATCTTTACTTTCTCTGGTCTTCTTCCCATCTCAGGAGTGTTCTAAAAGCTTGCATTTTTAGAAGACTAGAAGAAGGGGATTGTGATTTTTTTTCTCCCTCCCTCTGCCTCTTTCATGCTTCCTCTCCCCTCAATGTACTTCAGGTGTGTAGGACTGCAGCCCCATCAGCAGAATGATGATAGTTGTAGACCCATTCATCAAGAGGACTCTCCAGGAGACTGCAGATCTGTTCCTGGGGTACTCCTTAAGGAGGTTAGAGCAGGCAGTTCATGTTTCAGGTGCAGGGTAATCTCAAGCTGATTCTTGTTCCACCTTTGCTGACTGTATATCTCATGCTCTCTGGCTGTCATTTCTTCTTGCTTCAATTGCAGGCAGGGCCGATGCCCAAGCACATTGCATTCATCATGGATGGCAATCGTCGTTATGCTCAGAAGCATAAAGTGAGGAAGCTGGAAGGACATTCACAGGGTTTTGCAAAACTAACACAGGTAGGGAGAATCTTTCATGAGCATCTTGCTAGGGATGCAAAGGTGATGTATCCCAAAGTGATTACTATAGCATGCCAAAGCACATCTATCTCAACTCCCCTGTTAGAAGACCAGTAGGAAACCTGTGACTTCTACTTGGACTAATTTCAAAAGCCTTTTGCAAGTGATCAGCTTGGAACTCTGCTAAGAGTAATAAGTTCCTTATTAAGTTCCTCACTTAATTCACTGAGTAGAGAGGAATAAAATCACTGCTACTGTACCTCTGAGAGAAAGACTCTCCTTTTTCCTCTTTGGATAGTTCTAGGTTGAATGTCCATAACTTACAGAGGGGAAAGCCAGTGACGTGCTATATATATGTGCTAGGATACCAATTGCATCTGATTTGCAGGTCACCAACTCTAGTCAGTCAATTTAAGGCAAGGTACAAAAAGTGCATCCTGGGAGCCAGCATCCCTTTTTTGTGATTTCATAGTCTTTGAAAAGTCGATGGGCTAAAAAAAGAGGGCTTTTTCCATTCTGTTTAAAAAAAAAAAATGACTTTGCAAGTTTTAAGGTAATAATTTCACTCCTTACATTTATCTAAACTCTCCTTGCAAAATGGGATTGGTCCTAATCACTTTTGGAACGTGATCCTTGGTGTTCCATGTAAAAGCTGATGCAACCCTTAAGCCAGTAGGAATTGCACATTCCTGATTTAAGGGAAGGGAAAACTTGTTGCTAAGCAGCAGTAAAGATTCCTTGCTTTCTTGCACAAGCAATCTAAACTTTCCCAAAAGTACAGGTGGTCCCTGGGTTAAGAACGCCCGGTTTATGGACGATTCATAGTTAAGAACAGAGCCTACTGTAGCAAAATTCGAGTTAAATACACAATGGTTCAAGTTCATTACACAATACTACTTATACAGTATTATACAATAGTACTGTTCCAGCTTACATACAGATTTGACTTAAGGACAGACTTTGGGAACAGAACTTGTTCTTAAACTGGATATTACCTGTAATGTATAATTACAGTAGAACCTCAGTTGAATGGATCAACTGCGGGAAGGAGGTGTCTGTTACTCCCAAATGTCTGTTAAAGCATAAATTAATTATGGCAACTTAGGTAATTAAATTATGCAAATCACTGCTAATGATGTAAATTGCATTATTTGCATAATGTGATGCAAATGACATAAATCACTATGAGTGATATATCATTAACATAAACTGCCACCTTCAGATTCACATGGAATGGACTTGCTCAATAGTTGGAGGGTAAATACCTGGACAGAATTTTAGTCTATTGCATCCACTAAACAGGGATGCTAAATCAAGGTTTTATTCTACTTTGGCCTTAACTCTCTTCCTCTTCATAGACATTACAATGGTGCTTGAGTCTGGGTATCCAGGAAGTCACAGTTTACGCCTTTAGCATTGAGAATTTCAAGCGATCCCAAGAAGAAGTTGAGGGCTTGATGCAATTGGCTAGGAAAAAATTCACCCGTCTTCTTGAAGAACAGTAAGACTACTTTTTTCTCTTCCCTAAGTGATAAGCGGTTGAGTTCCTTTTCTACAGAGTGTAATGTTTATCTCCTGCATTGAACCAAAAGTGGGGCGTGTGCAACCTCTTGGATGCTTTTGGATTGCAATCTCCATCATTCCTCCTTGCTGACTAAGATAGTTGAAAGCTGCTGGGGACTGAATTTGAAGATCTTGCCATCTCTGCATTAAGTTTTGGAAACAATTGTTTTGAAGTACACTGTATAGGAGAAGATACTATTCTTAGACTGACTTTATACTTAATATACTAAAATTGATATTTAGCATGTAATGTTTTAATGAATTACATTCATTTATATATATTTTACATCTTTGATAGGGGAGGGGGAGAAAGGAGTGTTAAAGTATACCAGCCAAGCAAGTTGCAGGCCTTAGGTAGTATATACTTGCATTGGGAATTTTAACCTGAAAATAAATATGGGCATAAACAGTTTTTATTTATTAGATTAGGAACAATGCCCCATCCTGCAGTAAATGTCACAGATTTGGATTTCGAACATAAAAATATGGTAGAATTAAATAGACTTCTTTTTGTAGCACAATAAAATCAGTAAAGGGGACAACTGGTAGATACAAATAATGTTTAAAGACAGGGTTCAGAATGCTACACATTGTAGCTTGGCTTGAGTTCTTTTGAAAACTAATTAAACAGAATCTTTACATTTATGACTGTATATATTTCCCTTAAATTGTTTAGAAAGTGCAAGACCCCTTCACATTCAGGCAAGATGAATATTACCAGCTGGGTTCATGCATCATACTAAACATGGTTAGTTGAGTAAGCTATAATAGTTGGGTTCACACAGCATTTTAAGCCAAAACCAAACCACATTGTGGCTTAGAGCAGTGCATAAACTCAGTCAGTGATCAGCCAATGTATATTAATTTATTTGATTAATATTTTGTAATTCCACCAATTACTGATATTCCTGGCCAGTTGGATGCTTGAACTGTTACAAACAGCTGTTTTCTTGCATGTGACAAATCTGGTTATTTAATTTTGGGGACAGAGCTGCATCTGAGAAGAATGTGAGAGCAATTTGACTGCTAAGGGCAGATATTGCTTGTCCATTCACTGTAGGAGTCATGAAGAGCAGCTAAGTTAATGCCATTATGTGCAGTAGTGGGGGACTTTTTAATCCACTACATAATACACAGTTGCTGTTAGCTAATTTTAATGCAGTTTGAATGGAACGTTGCTTGCCAAGCAGTATATTAAAAGACTGGAGAACCTGATAGGAAAATTTCAAACCTCGTGCTGCCTTGCCATTATCCATGTGGCTACACTTCCTCTCTTGCTCATGAGAAAGCCAACTGACATGTTTCTCTCCCCACACCCCATGTCTTTTGTTTCAAGCTATCAGCTTATTTCTGAATAATCAAGTCTCAGTTAAGTGATTTTATAGATACAAGTGACAAGATACTAGCATTGCTAAGGCTCGGCTTCCTTCTCCTTTTTTTAAGAATCTGGCTTTTCTCTTCCCCCTTCTCCCTTCTTAGGGAAAACTTGGAGAAACATGGAGTATGTGTTCGAATACTTGGAGATGTGCCCCTCCTGCCACGGGATATCCAGGAACTGATTGCTAAGGTTGTGCTGGCAACTAAGCACTATAACAGGTGAGTTTATTTCCAGTTTCTTGAACTCTTTCCCCTACTCCACAACTGCAGAGCCTTTTTTTCAGGTCACACTACACCGGGTTAGGGTTTTAGCTTGGACACCCTTCCCATATACAGTGCTACATATTGTCCTTGATTGCCCTCCCATTCTCCATACAGCATCCCCAAGAGTCTCTCTGCTGCTTTTCTTTTCAAAAACACGTTCCAGCAGATTGTGGTTCTTAAGAAAGCTCTATACGATCAGCCCAATGGGTGGTTTTAGTTCAGGTCCTCTCTGCCACAGTGACCCACCAACCAAGAAGCAGGACTTTAGAGCGTCACATATTTCTTTTGTTACTTCCGTACAGCCAGTAGGTAGAGGCACACTGCCTTTGAACATGGAGGATCTCTTTAACTGTCTTAATTAACACCTTCTGATTGTCTTCCATGAAATAGCCTGATAGCCTTTTAAAGCCTTCTTAAGATAGCACCTGCTATCACCTTTTGGGGCAGCACCTGCCATTAACTTAAATAAGTCCTGTGCAATATTTGAAACATGTTTACTCATTCTTTAGTGAAAAAAACTAGAGTGGCTTATAATTTTAAGTATTAGGCAGTCCTGATCCTCTGGTTTACAGTCTAAAAGTTGTGAGACAAAAGAAAAGAGATGGGGAAGAGAACAAAAGCAAGGTTAGGCATCCCTTCTCTAGAGAAGATTTGTTCATACATCATGCTAAGCCATAGCTTGTTAAATGATGGTTTGCTGAATAAATGCTAATAGCTAAATTCACATAAAAGATTAAACCATGATTTATAAAACTTCAGGCCGGGTTCACAAACAGGCTACACCAGACAGGCCATAATATGCCTCCATAGCAAGCTGTGTGACTCTTATAATGGCCAGCTGAGATGGAAATGATTCAGTATATAGATGGGAAGGCTGCTGGCAGCAGGGGGAGTGGTGAGGTTCTGTGCTAAGGGCTCTTGGCTTTGTAGCCTCATGAATACCTCTGTCCTAAAGCTCCTGCCAATCATTTTCATTGGATAATTCTGAATTTAAAGTTGATATGTTTGAAACATTTGTACCATGAGTTAAGACAAATATGGCTCTCAGAAGACTATATTTAAAAATTGAAAGGCACGGACCAAACAGAAAAACAACTGGAATGCAGAAGGAAGAAAAAGGCTGAGGTGGCTCCATTGCTATTACTATCTGTTGCCTTCTCCTTGCCTTTTAATCATCATTTTAATATTTTTTGCTTGTTGATTGTTTTTATATCACTGTTTTATAGTTTTTTATTGTACGCTGCCTAGAGTCATGTTTTGTGAGATGGGTGGCTACAGTGGGGCAAAAAAGTATTTAGTCAGCCACCAATTGTGCAAGTTCTCCCACTTAAAAAGATGAGAGAGGCCTGTAATTTTCACCATAGGTAT